GGGGGGGCGGGGGGGGCACTGAAGCTCACTTTGCTACCTGAGACCCTAAGAGTGAAATGCAAACCGAGAGGCAGGAACGGGGCGTCCAGTGAACTCTGCCTCCCCTGGGGGCCACTGGTCTACCTTCTGGACCAAGGAAGCCGTCAAAGGTTGGAGCAGGAAGGGACACCATCCGACAGGGGGCAGGGGCCAGGGCGAGAGGACGGGACCGGAGCAGAGAGGAGCCAGAGGCTGGCTCTGCGGGGAGGGAAAGGAATTAAAAAGGCGGCAGGGTTTCTGCCCTGTACTGAGGCGGGGCTGCCGCTTGGACACAGGGGGTGAGGGTCGTTCCGGGCAGGCTGGATTTAAGACGTCTTCCCTCGGGCAAGAGGCGGGGTCTAGTAGGCAACTGGCCACAGAGGACGGGAGCTCAGAGGATCCTTCGCCCGTGCCCTGCGCCCCCTTCTGTGCCCCGGCTCAGCCCCAGCCCGCACACCCGCTTATCTCCAGCCTGATCCTGCTGGCGCCCGGGAGCCTGTCCCAGAGGGAGGCGGCCTCCATCCTGGGGCCAAGGCTCAGCCCCACCCTGGCTGCTCTGAACCCTCGGCCCCCCCTTCCCGCGTGTCCATCGAGCTGAGGCCCTGTCCTTACCTTCCCCCATCGAGTCATCCACAGAGGTCCATGCTCACTGGCCTCACCCCTCTAAGTCCAGGCGACCTTGGCATCTCCCTTCTGCCTTGTCTACTCCCGAGCTGTTCTCTCCGAGGTCCCTGGACACCAGCTGCTCAGGGACACCACTGGCGCTTACACTTGACCTCGCCCACGGTCTCCCGGGCCAGCGCTACCTCCTGGGTCCCCCGCAGCCTCCCCGGCCACCCCCGGCCTCGCCGGCTCCTCTGTCATCAGCTTCCCTCTTCTCTGCCTCCTTAAACCATGCAAACACTTCTCCAGGGCGCAGCCAAGTGCGTGTGTGTCTCTCGCCACTCCCAGGTTCCACGATAATTATTTCCTTTCCACCCCCTTTCACCTGCAACGGACATCGTTGCTCCTCAGAGACCAGTCCCGCCGTGGGGCCGCTCACCTCGTAGGGCTCCTTGCTGGGCCTGCACCTTTCCACCTGGGAGAGCGGGGTCCTGGAGCAGACGCCATCCTGGATGTCGGATTTCTACCGAGGAGAGGGAAACGCCTGCTTAACTCATGGGCAACAGCAATGTCCGTTAAGCAGTCATTCATTCATTTTGTTTGTGAACCCTCCCCCGAGGATATTTTTCCNATGGGCAACAGCAATGTCCGTTAAGCAGTCATTCATTCATTTTGTTTGTGAACCCTCCCCTGAGGATATTTTTCCGTTGATTTTTAGAGAGAGTGAAAAAGAGGGAGGGAGAGAGAAACACTGATGTGAGAGAGACACCGATTGGTTGCCTCCTGCACATGTCCTGACCGGGGCCGGGTACTGAACCTGCAACCCAGGTACCTGCCCTTGACTGGGAACAGAACCCGCGACCCTTCCGTGCGCAGGCCGACGCTCTACCCGCTGAGCCACACCGTCCAGGGCGAGTCATTCATTTTTGAGCCAGTGCTGGGCTGAGAGCGCCCCACGTAGTTGGTCGGCCGGGTACCAGCAGCAAAGCCCCATCTGAGGACGCCCAGGGCGGGATGTGCCCAGACCCGTCAGGCGACCTGCTGCTTCCCGGGCTCGGCCAGGAAAGGCCAGGGACCGGCAGCCCTGCGCAGGCCGCTGCTCCTTGCCGGCCTCCGGTCCTTCGCCTGTGCCGGGCAGTCACTCCGAGATGTGAGAACAGAACCCACAGACCTGAGCTGAGAATGGCTCATGTGGCCTGACCTGCTATACAGGATACCGACTTCCGTTACCTGCTTGTCTACAAACAGCCCCAGTCCCTGCCTGCCCCCCACCCCAATCAAAGTCACAGCAACTCACCCAGTTTCAAGAAGACAGACAACCGCACCTGTGATCTGGGGGCGATTCCGTCTGGAGACAGGTGCAATTAAATGGCTCATTAATTTACCAACCAGCAAATATTCACAGAATGTCCCTACGGGATCCCCAAATTAAAACCCGCACTGCCTGGCTTCAGAGAAAGGAAATGAGAGTCAAGAGAGCGGGGGAGAAATAACAAGTGGTCGGGGTCTAGCAGTTTACTTTTCAGATTACTAGTTTCATGTTCAAAATTACAGAGGAGTTGTTCGTAATCGGCTGAGAGTAAGAACTGGGACAGGGCTCGCAGCGCCATTAAATCAGCCGTACGCAGAGCTGCTGAGCGGACCAGCTGTCGTCGCCGGCGGGGGTTAATTCACGCCAGTTAAAAGCGGTTGTCAGACCAGGTAGGTCCTGCGGTTTAAGGGTTAAGTGCAAAACAGACACAGTAAAGTAAGAGCCGTATCTGTTAGGACCCCGTTATAGCTGAGTTTCCCCGGACGTTCTCAGGAGACACGCTCAGCTTGGCAACCCCGATGCCGGGCAGTGGAGGAGAGAAACACAGCAGACGGCAAGACCCCCGACAAATCAGGACACAGCCTGGGGGCTTCAGACAAAGGTCTCCCTGGCTCGGGATGAGCCGCGTGCATGGTTAGGAAGAGTGAGTGACCGAGTCTGTATCTGTGGATGCGGAGGCAGACACGGGAAAGGAAGTATTTAAAAAACCCAAGTCCAGCCTGGCCGGTGTGGCTCAGTGGTTGAGTGTTGAACCAGGAACCAAGAGGTCGCTGGTTCGATTCCCGGTCAGGGCACATGCCGCGTTAGGCTCCATCCCCAGTGTGGGGCGTGCGGGAGGCAGCCGATTGATTAGGTTTCTCTCTCTCTGTCCCTCTCTCCCTTCCTCTCTCTCTATAAATAAAAAATAAAATAAAAAGCTTTTAAAAACCCATCTTATCGATCAGCATCCAAAGGACGGGTTCTGCAAAGGAGCATGTTGGAATCCGCTGGCTCACTTAGGAAAGCGGCCACGTCACCCTCCCCATACGTGACACCCTGAGCCTGCAGTCAGCCCTGTGGGAACACTTTCTATAAACTGCTTTTTGAACAGCACTCCTCATTTGAAAAGGAAAATCCGTGCGTGGATCATCTTCTCTTCCTGTCACTTATGTATTTAAAGTCTTCACTACTGTGCTCCACCATGGTGATGCCAAACGGTGTGGCCTTGAGCCCAGCAGAGGTGAAAAACCTGTAAGTGGGCACCTTTCACAGGTGCATATTTATTTATAAATTTTAAGCATGTAACACTGCACTAATGTATTATAAAATAGGAATTAAAAGTGATGAGAAAGCCCGGCTGGCGTGGCTCAGTGGTTGAGTGTTGACCTATGAACCTGGAGGTCACGGTTCAATTCCTGCTCAGGGCACATGCCAGGGTTTCGGGCTCGATCCCCAGCACGGGACATGCAGGAGGCAGCCAGTCAATGACTCTCCTCATTGATGTTTCTCTCTCCCCCGCCTCTCCCTTCCTCTCTCTGAAATCAATAAAATCATATTTAAAAATATATAAATTTTTTAAAAAGTGATGAGACATAAATGAGGAATATATAATCTTCTTATAAAAGATAAATGAACCCTCGCTGGTTTGACTCAGCGGTCAGAGCGTCAGCCAGTGGGCTGGAGGGTCTCAGGTTTGGTTCTGGTCCGGGGCACATACCTGGGTTGCAGGCTCGATGCCCGGCCCAGCTGGCGCATGCGTGGGAGGCAACCAACGGACGTCTCTCTCTTCTTTCCGCTCTCTCTAAAAATCAATGGAAAAACTATCCTCGGGTGAAGGTTAACAACAAAAAATAACAAATCAGCAGCTTAGACCCACGTCAGCAAGTGGGAGACGCTGGGGGGCCGAGCTCCCTCCCCACGAGGGACGCGCCGAGGCCCCGCTCACCCCCGACAGGTAGCGCTCGAGCTTCTTGTTCAGGAGGAAGTAGACGGCGAGGATGTGGCAGGCGCGGTTGGCCAGCACCGTGTTGATCACGTCGCTGTTCCTGTAGCCGAGCTTCTCGGTCATGTGCAGCACCACGCTCGGGCTCAGGTCCGCCAGCGAGATCCTGCGGCAGGGGCAGGGAGCCGTCACCCGCGCGCAGAGGCTCCGTCCACCGCCCGACCTCCCGTGAGGGAAACGCCCCAAACACGGAAAGCAGAGGGAACGGCACCCCCCCCCGCGTGCACCAACCCCC